AGTCAAAGTAGAGAAATTGTGTTTATTGCTACACTTGCATTTCGAGTATACATACCCTAAATAGACGTAGTCGGCAGGATTCGAACCTGCGCGGGCAGAGCCCAATGGATTTCTAGTCCATCGCCTTAACCACTCGGCCACGACTACTGCTATGTTGTCCTGTTTAACACAGCAATGGGATCGACAAAGTAATGTGCGCCAACATTGATATCAACAACAGACGTTTACTGTCTCAATGAAACTGACAAATAATTCAAAATTAGGCTATATAATTGTGTTTATTGCTACACTTGCATTTCGAGTATACATACCCTAAAAAACCGTAATCGGCAGGATTCGAACCTGCGCGGGCAGAGCCCAATGGATTTCTAGTCCATCGCCTTAACCAATCGGCCACGACTACTGTTATGTTGTACTGTTTAACACGCAATGGCATCGACAAATTTTGGAATCATAAATAATGTGCGCCAACATTGATATCAACAATGAAACTTTCAAATAATTCAAAATTAGTCCAAGTAGAGAAATTGCGTTTATTGCTACACTTGCATTTCGAGTATACATACCCTAAATAGACGTAGTCGGCAGGATTCGAAACTGCGCGGGCAGAGCACAATGGATTTCTAGTCCATCGCCTTAACCACTCGGCCACGACTACTGTTATGTTGTCCTGTTTAACACAGCAATGGGATCGACAAAGTAATGTGCGCCAACATTGATATCAACAACAGACGTTTACTGTCTCAATGAAACTGACAAATAATTCAAAATTAGGCTATATAATTGTGTTTATTGCTACACTTGCATTTCGAGTATACATACCCTAAAAAAACGTAATCGGCAGGATTCGAACCTGCGCGGGCAGAGCCCAATGGATTTCTAGTCCATCGCCTTAACCAATCGGCCACGACTACTGTTATGTTGTACTGTTTAACACGCAATGGCATCGACAAATTTTGGAATCATAAATAATGTGCGCCAACATTGATATCAACAATGAAACTTTCAAATAATTCAAAATTAGGCCAAGTAGAGAAATTGTGTTTATTGCTACACTTGCATTTCGAGTATACATACACTAAATTGACGTAGTCGGCAGAATTCGAACCTGCGCGGGCAGAGCCCAATGGATTTCTAGTCCATCGCCTTAACCACTCGGCCACGACTACTGTTATGTTGTACTGTTTAACACAGCAATGGGATCGACACATTTTGGAGTCATCACATAAGTAATGTGCGCCAACATTGATATCAACAATGAAACTTTCAAATAATTCAAAATTAGGCCAAGTAGAGAAATTGTGTTTTTTAGCTACACTTGCATTTCGAGTATACATACCCTAAACAGACGTAGTCGGCAGGATTCGAACCAACGCGGGCAGAGCCCAATGGATTTCTAGTCCATCGCCTTAACCACTCGGCCACGACTACTGTTATGTTGTACTGTTTAACACAGCAATGGGAACGACAAATTTTGGAATCATCACATAAATAATGCGCGCCAACATTGATATCAACAATGAAACTTTCAAATAATTCAAAATTAGTCAAAGTAGAGAAATTGTGTTTATTGCTACACTTGCATTTCGAGTATACATACCCTAAATAGACGTAATCGGCAGGATTCGAACCTGCGCGGGCAGAGCCAAATGGATTTCTAGTCCATCGCCTTAACCACTCGGCCACGACTACTGCTATGTTGTCCTGTTTAACACAGCAATGGGATCGACAAAGTAATGTGCGCCAACATTGATATCAACAACAGACGTTTACTGTCTCAATGAAACTGACAAATAATTCAAAATTAGGCTATATAATTGTGTTTATTGCTACACTTGCATTTCGAGTATATATACCCTAAAAAAACGTAATCGGCAGGATTCGAAACTGCGCGGGCAGAGCCCAATGGATTTCTAGTCCATCGCCTTAACCACTCGGCCACGACTACTGTTATGTTGTACTGTTTAACACGCAATGGCATCGACAAATTTTGGAATCATAAATAATGTGCGCCAACATTGATATCAACAATGAAACTTTCAAATAATTCAAAATTAGGCCAAGTAGAGAAATTGTGTTTATTGCTACACTTGCATTTCGAGTATACATACACTAAATTGACGTAGTCGGCAGGATTCGAACCTGCGCGGGCAGATCCCAATGGATTTCTAGTCCATCGCCTTAACCACTCGGCCACGACTACTGTTATGTTGTACTGTTTAACACAGCAATGGGATCGACAAAATTTGGAATCATCACATAAATAATGTGCGCCAACATTGATATCAACAATGAAACTTTCAAATAATTCAAAATTAGTCCAAGTAGAGAAATTGTGTTTATTGCTACACTTGCATTTCGAGTATACATACCCTAAATAGACGTAGTCGGCAGGATTCGAAACTGCGCGGGCAGAGCCCAATGGATTTCTAGTCCATCGCCTTAACCACACGGCCACGACTACTGCTATGTTGTCCTGTTTAACACAGCAATGGGATCGACAAAGTAATGTGCGCCAACATTGATATCAACAACAGACGTTTACTGTCTCAATGAAACTGACAAATAATTCAAAATTAGGCTATATAATTGTGTTTATTGCTACACTTGCATTTCGAGTATACATACCCTAAAAAAACGTAATCGGCAGGATTCGAACCTGCGCGGGCAGAGCCCAATGGATTTCTAGTCCATCGCCTTAACCAATCGGCCACGACTACTGTTATGTTGTACTGTTTAACACGCAATGGCATCGACAAATTTTGGAATCATAAATAATGTGCGCCAACATTGATATCAACAATGAAACTTTCAAATAATTCAAAATTAGGCCAAGTAGAGAAATTGTGTTTATTGCTACACTTGCATTTCGAGTATACATACACTAAATTGACGTAGTCGGCAGGATTCGAACCTGCGCGGGCAGATCCCAATGGATTTCTAGTCCATCGCCTTAACCACTCGGCCACGACTACTGTTATGTTGTACTGTTTAACACAGCAATGGGATCGACAAAATTTGGAATCATCACATAAATAATGTGCGCCAACATTGATATCAACAATGAAACTTTCAAATAATTCAAAATTAGTCCAAGTAGAGAAATTGTGTTTATTGCTACACTTGCATTTCGAGTATACATACCCTAAATAGACGTAGTCGGCAGGATTCGAAACTGCGCGGGCAGAGCCCAATGGATTTCTAGTCCATCGCCTTAACCACACGGCCACGACTACTGCTATGTTGTCCTGTTTAACACAGCAATGGGATCGACAAAGTAATGTGCGCCAACATTGATATCAACAACAGACGTTTACTGTCTCAATGAAACTGACAAATAATTCAAAATTAGGCTATATAATTGTGTTTATTGCTACACTTGCATTTCGAGTATACATACCCTAAAAAAACGTAATCGGCAGGATTCGAACCTGCGCGGGCAGAGCCCAATGGATTTCTAGTCCATCGCCTTAACCAATCGGCCACGACTATTGTTATGTTGTACTGTTTAACACGCAATGGCATCGACAAATTTTGGAATCATAAATAATGTGCGCCAACATTGATATCAACAATGAAACTTTCAAATAATTCAAAATTAGGCCAAGTAGAGAAATTGTGTTTATTGATACACTTGACGTAGTCGGCAGGATTCGAACCTGCGCGGGCAGAGCCCAATGGATTTCTAGTCCATCGCCTTAACCACTCGGCCACGACTACTGTTATGTTGTACTGTTTAACACAGCAATGGGATCGACAAATTTTGGAATCATCACATAAATAATGCGCGCCAACATTGATATCAACAATGAAACTTTCAAATAATTCAAAATTAGTCAAAGTAGAGAAATTGTGTTTATTGCTACACTTGCATTTCGAGTATACATACCCTAAATAGACGTAGTCGGCAGGATTCGAACCTGCGCGGGCAGAGCCCAATGGATTTCTAGTCCATCGCCTTAACCACTCGGCCACGACTACTGCTATGTTGTCCTGTTTAACACAGCAATGGGATCGACAAAGTAATGTGCGCCAACATTGATATCAACAACAGACGTTTACTGTCTTAATGAAACTGACAAATAATTCAAAATTAGGCTATATAATTGTGTTTATTGCTACACTTGCATTTCGAGTATACATACCCTAAAAAACCGTAATCGGCAGGATTCGAACCTGCGCGGGCAGAGCCCAATGGATTTCTAGTCCATCGACTTAACCACTCGGCCACGACTACTGTTATGTTGTACTGTTTAACACAGCAATGGGATCGACAAATTTTGGAATCATCACATAAGAAATGTGCGCCAACATTGATATCAACATCAGACGTTTACTGTCTCAATGAAACTGACAAATAATTCAAAATTAGTCCAAGTAGAGAAATTGTGTTTATTGCTACACTTGCATTTCGAGTATACATACATGCCCTAAATAGACGTAGTCGGCAGGATTCGAACCTGCGCGGGCAGAGCCCAATGGATTTCTAGTCCATCGCATTAACCACTCGGCCACGACTACTGCTATGTTGTACTGTTTAACACAGCAATGGGATCGACAAATTTTGGAATCATCACATTAGTAATGTGCGCCAATATTGATATCAACAATAGACGTTTACTGTCTCAATGAAACTTTCAAATAATTCAAAATTAGTCAAAGTAGAGAAATTGTGTTTATTGCTACACTTGCAATTCCAGTATACATACCCTAAATAGACGTAGTCGGCAGGATGCGAACCTGCTTGGGCAGAGCCCAATGGATTTCTAGTCCATCGCCTTAACCACTCGGCCACGACTACTGCAATGATGTACTGTTTAACACAGCAATGGGATCGACAAATTTTGGAATCATCACATAAGAAATGTGCGCCAACATTGATATCAACAACAGACGTTTACTGTCTCAATGAAACTGACAAATAATTCAAAATTAGTCCAAATAGAGAAATTGTGTTTATTGCTACACTTGCAATTCCAGTATACAATCCCTAAATAAGACGTAGTCGGCAGGATGCGAACCTGCTTGGGCAGAGCCCAAATGGATTTCTAGTCCATCGCTTTAACCACTCGGCCACGACTACTGCTATGATGTACTGTTTAACACAGCAATGGGATCGACAAATTTTGGAATCATCACATAAGTAATGTGCGCCAACATTGATATCAACAATAGACGTTTACTGTCTCAATGAAACTTTCAAATAATTCAAAATTAGTCAAAGTAGAGAAATTGTGTTTATTGCTACACTTGCAATTCCAGTATACATACCCTAAATAGACGTAGTCGGCAGGATGCGAACCTGCTTGGGCAGAGCCCAATGGATTTCTAGTCCATCGCCTTAACCACTCGGCCACGACTACTGCAATGATGTACTGTTTAACACAGCAATGGGATCGACAAATTTTGGAATCATCACATAAGAAATGTGCGCCAACATTGATATCAACAACAGACGTTTACTGTCTCAATGAAACTGACAAATAATTCAAAATTAGTCCAAATAGAGAAATTGTGTTTATTGCTACACTTGCAATTCCAGTATACATACCCTAAATAGACGTAGTCGGCAGGATGCGAACCTGCTTGGGCAGAGCCCAATGGATTTCTAGTCCATCGCCTTAACCACTCGGCCACGACTACTGCTATGATGTACTGTTTAACACAGCAATGGGATCGACAAATTTTGGAATCATCACATAAGAAATGTGCGCCAACATTGATATCAACATCAGACGTTTACTGTCTCAATGAAACTGACAAATAATTCAATTATTAGTCCAAGTAGAGAAATTGTGTTTATTGCTACACTTGCATTTCGAGTATACATACATACCCTAAATAGACGTAGTCGGCAGGATTCGAACCTGCGCGGGCAGAGTCCAATGGATTTCTAGTCCATCGCATTAACCACTCGGCCACGACTACTGCTATGTTGTACTGCTTAACACAGCAATGGGATCGACAAATTTTGGAATCATCACATAAGTAATGTGCGCCAATATTGATATCAACAATAGATGTTTACTGTCTCAATGAAACTTTCAAATAATTCAAAATTAGTCTATATAAGGGAATTGTGTTTATTGCTACACTTGCATTTAGTGTATACATACCCAAAATAGACGTAGTCGGCAGGATTCGAACCTGCGCGGGCAGAGCCCAATGGATTTCTAGTCCATCGCCTTAACCACTCGGCCACGACTACTGCTATGTTGTCCTGTTTAACACAGCAATGGGATCGACAAATTTTGGAATCATCACATAAATAATGTGCGCCAACATTGATATCAGCAATGAAACTTTCAAATAATTCAAAATTAGTCCAAGTAGAGAAATTGTGTTTATTGCTACACTTGCATTTCGAGTATACATACCCAAAATAGACGTAGTCGGCAGGATTCGAACCTGCGCGGGCAGAGCCCAATGGATTTCTAGTCCATCGCCTTAACCACTCGGCCACGACTACTGCTATGTTGTACTGTTTAACACAGCAATGGGATCGACAAATTTTGGAATCATCACATAAGTAATGTGCGCCAACATTGATATCAACAACAGACGTTTACTGTCTCAATGAAACTGACAAATAATTAAAAATTAGTCCAAGTAGAGAAATTGTGTTTATTGCTACACTTGCATTTCGAGTATACATACCCTAAATAGACGTAGTCTGCAGGATGCGAACCTGCGCAGGCAGAGCCCAATGGATTTCTAGTCCATCGCCTTAACCACTCGGCCACAACTACTGCTATGTTGTACTGTTTAAGACAGCAATGGGATCGACAAATTTTGGAATCATCACATAAGTAATGTGCGCCAACATTGATATCAACAACAGACGTTTACTGTCTCAATGAAACTGACAAATAATTCAAAATTTGTCCATGTCGAGAAATTGTGTTTATTGCTACACTTGCAATTCGAGTATACATACCCTAAATAGACGTAGTCGGCAGGATTCGAACCTGCGCGGGCGGAGCCCAATGGATTTCTAGTCCATCGCCTTAACCACTCGGCCATGACTACTGCTATGTTGTACTGTTTAACACAGCAATAGGATCGACAGATTTTGGAATCGTCACATAAGTAATGTGCGCCAACATTGATATCAACAACAGACGTTTACTGTCTCAATGAAACTGACAAATAATTCAAAATTAGTCCAAATAGAGAAATTGTGTTTATTGCTACACTTGCAATTCGAGTATACATACCCTAAATAAACGTAGTCGGCAGGATGCGAACCTGCGCGGGCAGAGCCCAATGGATTTCTAGTCCATCGCCTTAACAACTCGGCCACAACTACTGCTATGTTTTACTGTTTAACACAGCAATGTGATCGACACATTTTGGAATCATCACATAAGTAATGTGCGCCAACATTGATGTTTGCTGTCTCAATGAAACTTTCTAATAATTCAAAATTAGCTATATA